TTCAGTGGTTATACATGCATTTTGTAGATGTGAAGAATGTTGTTCCTGAGGATTCTAGCCAGACCCTTGTTGAACATCTTGGATCATTCATAGGTCACTCATCAGAACTATGCATTTTACCCACTAGCAATAGCCCTATTGTTAATTGCAGATTGCCTAAAGGTGACTAATTCCTTGAAGATGTAAAATAAATCACATGTTGGGTGTGTGCTCAAAAGAAATTATTTTTATTGATCACATTTACATCCCATTCTTATTCTAGTAATCTCAGGCTTCTAGTTTTATTGTCACAATAACTTTGTGTGGTGGGATTAGATGGAGAAATTATTTCAGAGGGGAGCTGCATTGCAGCAAAACTAAAAAGAAGGTTTAGTGTCATCTTTAACTTTTGTTAGGACGCACGAAGATGTTGAAGAAAAAGCAAAGAAAGAGGGGGTGGGATGGTTCGGGATGCAATAGGAAAGCTCCACAATCTTCAGTTGTTTGCAACAAACCTAAGTTAAGTACAGGAAGTGTTTTGCAAACCCCAAATTCATACAAACCACCTAATACTTTTTGGCCCTTCTCTTGCTTATTGGGTGTACAGGTATAATAAAACTAATGGCAATTCTAAATGTGTGGGTATATGGTTTCTTATATGTGAGCAACACCACTTCTGTATGCACTTGTACAAAGGCTTTAAATTAATTGGCACTTGTCAAGAACTTTGGTTCACTCAAAATGGAGTTTGCTTTAAAAGTCTGGTTCAGTCTGGCTGCGTTCAGCCCTTGGAGCTGTGGTGGCTCAAGTGGCTAAGACGCTGAACTGCAGGCTTTGGAAGGTCAGTAGTTCAGCAGTTCGAGACCCGGGTGCCGCATGACGGAGTGAGCTCCCGTCTCTAGTTCCAGCTCCTGCCAACCTAGCAGTTTGAAAGCAAGACATTGCAAGTAGATAAATAGGTACCACCTCAGTGGGAAGGTAACAGCGTTCCGTGCACCTTGGTGTTTAGTCATGCCGGCCACATGACCACGGAAACGTCTTCGGACAGCGCTGGCTCTTCGGCTTTGAAACGGAGATGAGCACCGCAACCCTAGAGTCGGACTCGACTGGCTTTCGAGCAAGGGAACCTTTACCTTTACCTCAGTCTGGCTGCAGCCTGCTGCTGTTAAAAATGTTGCCTTTAAGTCTCCTAATTTTCACACAGATGTGCTGAGGAGAATGAACATTCTTGTACCTGTGACATAACAAGTTCCCTCTCTGGCCTTGGCTTCCCTCATTAACATTCTAAAGCAGTTAAGTCCTGTGGGAAGGGGGTGGTGGTGTGAAACTGCAGATCATCACCTGCTCTTCTGACATGACCAGAGACCAATGAAATCAACCTTTCACTGATTGCCCTACTTGTATCTGGAAGACATTGCTTGAACCCTAGTTGGTGCATAGGCCTGGCAACCAGTTGGGATTCAACCAATAAATAAGCTACCTTTGGGAGGCATAATGGTGTTTGCATATGAAGCTGACATGTAACATCGCCTTGCTCACTTTTGGCCATCTCGGAAGCTCTGATTGCTGAAGCCAACCAACCTGGCATTTGGGACTCTGGAGACAGAGTACACTTTGGACCCAGAACTGAATGGGCAATATCTTGCTCTTTGGGAACCAAGGTTCTACAAGTGTTTGGCTAGTTTATTAATCTCTAGTTTTATTGTTTTCCCTCACAGTAACCTTTTAGGTAATTCTGCACTTTTTATAATAATACTTTTTGCATTAAATAAATACATTTTATTTACCAACTTCTGGTTTCTGTCTCCACTGCTGCAGTAAGACAATCTGGTGCCCAGACTGACAGTTCCTACCTAGAATAACCCGTGGGTCTCCTTCTGGGAGCCAACCTCGCAGGGAGGATTCACTAGTTAATCCTGGGAAGGTCAGGAGCTTGTCCTTTGACTCTTGACTGGAGGGACACAAAAGAACTGGTGTTAGTACTACCTGGTTAAAGGTATACATGTGCTTTTAACCCCCCCCCCCTCCCCTTTGTAACTGTAACTAGCCAGCCTCTTGGTGAAGAAAGTCTCCAGCCCAACTTGGGCAGGAGGGAAGCTGTCTTTGATAGCACTGCAGGAAAATTAATTATCAGTCACATTTGCACTTTCCTGCACTTCAGATTGCATGTGTGGTTTTGATTTGAACTAGATGAGGCCATTTTAGGAGTAAAACAAATGCTACTGTGACAGGAGCAAGCAACTACTGTTCTCCCTGTGAAAGATAAAAGTCAGCAGTGATTTGGAATAGATCAGCCTCTATTGAACATGTTGGTCCTTCTTAGAGCAGAAGTAAGGGAAAGTGTGGTAGTCCTTATATTAGCAACGCTGGGGATACATCTTCCCAGTGCTCTAGGTAAAGTCAATAAAAGTAGAATTGAGTAATGTTACTTAGTGGTTCAAGGGCACTGACACGTCTCCTCTGCCAAGCAGTCTAATAATTGGGTAGTCACAGGTTATCATCTCACAATTCTAGGATCTCATCTGTAGGATGGTTACATTTGGTTGGAAAGTAGCAAGAATATAAAAGTAGTGCTGAGAAATCTTGAAGTTGGAAAAGTCTGGCTTGAAGCTGGAAAAATAAATTGGCTAAATTAGACACAGAGATTGCAAATACAGCAAGCATATGTAAATACAGAGAAGTAGCATTATCCAAGTACACACAAACAAAAATCCCAAACATGTGGCAAATTAAGGATAAAATATCTGGAAGAGAGGAGCAGTTTGTGTAGGCATTTTGGGTGGGAAAAGGTTTTACTGCACAGTTTGAGTATCTGGCACTCCAAATGCTTACACTATATGAAAATATTTATCTTAGTGATGTGATTTTGCTGTATGTGCCTCCCCCCAGCATTGTACAATCAATGCAAAGTAATATGGATTCAGTGATGAAGGATATCATTCTAGTCTGTTTCTATCCAGTAAAAATAACAAGCATCTTAATAATTTTTGGAATATAGATGCTTTAGAAACGAAAACACTGGCTGAGATATTCCATTGGCACTGGAAATTCTTTGTGAAGTATAGTACTAACCATCACACAGGGAAACCCATGTAAATGCTACCGGGGATCAAACACTGAAATGTATATGAATAATATATTAGTAGATATACAGAACATATAATTAAAATTGAAATAGTAGAGCAAATTTATAAAATATTTAAACAGAATGGTGGTGAACACAGCAGAGATTCACATACATTGCTTGTCTTCTAGTCAGTCATGATACACAGTTGGCTCATAATAGAGCTCAATTTTATAGGGAAAAGATGCTTCTTACTCAGTAAAAATATTGTCCTTAAATCTTGGAGGCAGACTTTTTAGCCTTAGAAAGTGCTGGGTAATCAAAAGTGAAGGTGGCCATCAGACCCTTTACCTAAGAAGGAGAAACAGGAACAATTAACAATTCTCATTTTCCTGCCCAATTAAAACTTAACAAGCACATCACCCTGTGGCGTCCCTGTCACAGTGACGTCACCCAAAAGTGATGTCATCATGTCAGGGACATCAGGGGTTCCGCTCTAGTTTTTGGGCAAGCACTATGGTTTTGAAGGAAAAAAACCCCATAGAGTTTTGCCCAAAAACTAGAGTGGCACCCCCCCCTCGACATCCCTGACCCACTAACATCACTTCCAGGTGATGTCATCACAGCAGAAGATCCCAGAGGAGAGGCAACATCCCCCTGCCGGCAGCCAGATAGGACCTGACAACCCTAGGAACAAAGTAGGCTCTGCAATAGAGAAGGGCTTTCATTACATGCACAGATTGCCCCTAAGGGATGGGACTATAAAGGAGTAGAGGAAAAGGAGTACTCAACCCGTCCTTTCATCCAATTCCTCCACTTGCTTTTTACTGTTATTGCTTTCCAGTCCAATGTGCACAAGATGGAGTTGCCAAGCCCCTTGCTCACAGGTCCTGTGGCCTGCTGCTTCTGGAAGCAGTGGCAAGGAAAAAGTTAAAAAGAGAAATAAGGCCTTTTCTCCTTACAGGAAGTTCTTGCCACAGAGTTCCTGGTGATTCCTAGAGCTGCTTGGAAGTGACAAGGGGTAGCTGTTGTCGTTGTTGTTGTTCAGTCGCACGGTCGAGTCCGACTTTTTGCGACGCCATGGACCACATCACGCCAGGTCCTCCTGTCCTCCGTCATCCTTCGGAGTTTGCTCAGCTTCATGTTCGTTGCATCGATAATACTGTCTAACCATCTCATCCTTTGTCCTCCCCTTCTTCTTTTACCTTCAATCTTTCCCAGCATCAGGGTGGGGGGTAGCTCTAGGAATTGCTAGAAATTCTATCGATTCCCTGTAAGTAGACAAAACCTTATTCTTTTCTTTTTAACTTTTTCATCAGGATGTTGCCTGCCCCCCCCCCCACAACCCTCCAGACGTTTGCCAGGCAGTGCCCAGCAATCTTATGACAAAATCAGTTCCCCTAGAGAAAATGGATGCTTTGGAGGATGGATTTTGTGGCATCATACCTTGCTGAGGTCCTTCCCTTTCCCAGCCTCTGCCCTCCCCAAAGCTCCACTCCCAGATCTCCCGGAATCTCCCAACCCAGAGTTGGCAGCCCTAGTGCAAGATAAACATGGATCTTGAACTCTGGTGGGGTGAAAATATTCTTTTCTGGCTCTTTCTTTTCCATTATAAAGTGACCTTTCCTGTGGACAATTTGTAACACAGAAATATTTTGCTACAAGAGGCTGTATATACTTTGTTCTGGAGTGGAGTTTCGAGTGCTACTGTAACAGGTGGAGAAACATTATGGTAATCTTTAAAATGCAGTAGATGAAAACTGCCTTATGGAATAGAATTTGTGTCTTCTATACTGTAAATGCTCTGGTTAATGCAGCAACCTTGGGGGGTTTGGTTGGTTACTTTTTATTTTTACCCATGATGCCATACAACAGAATGAATTGGACTATGCCCTCTTAATTTAGTGCCTTAATATGTCTACTTTTTGCCTTTTCCCCCCACTGCTGTCAAATAAAGGCCAAGAAGTGCCAGGGCTTCCTAACAGAGACGTGCAGAAACAACATGAGAGAGCTAGAGTTACTCTTGGACAGCTTTACTGTGTCAAGCCAGCGGACAGCAGGTTAGTTGAAGGTATAAAATGACAGATGCATCTGTCAGTGTTCCAAAGTCACTACATTGTGGGAATTCTACAGATGCCCTCTTGTATTCTCTCTTCTCAACATGCTTTGATTTGATGACATGATAAGAGCAGTTCTCACAGCAGTCAAGTGGCCTTGCTAGCTGGGAGAGGGTGACTGAAGGCGGATCTGCTGTTGTCAGCCCAGAACTTGATTTACAAGTGTTGGGTTCTGTGTGATCGGTCAGGAAAGGGCTCGCTTACTGTGCTTGAAATCCAACAGAGAGAAAAAGTCCTTACAGTATTCCTACAAGGGGAACAGATGTTTTGGTTTGAACTGTGCCAAATTCAGAGGCAACCTTCAGCTACTTAAAGGTCATCTATTCAAAAAAAGGTTATGTAGGACACAGAATGCAACACATTATTAGTCTTTATTGAGTTGCTTTGAAGTCAACTGAGGGATAATGATTACATTCATGCCAGCACAAAGTACTAAGCCGACTGGTGTGTAAAAATGACCTCCCAGATACTGTTTTCTTTTCATTGTTCACATAATGATAATATGAAAACAAAGATATATTGTTTATAAGAATGGGGGGTGCTTTGATGCTACACTTTCCTTTTTAATTATTTGGAGGCTTTTTCAAGCCTATAGCATTACATTCTTTTGCAAAATAGGTATTCTTTACTCATTTACTCTGCTGTTGCAAAGTAGGTATTCTTTACTCATTTACTCTGCTGTGTTTGACCATTAAAAAAAAATGGTCAGAAGTGCAATCAGAGGTACACGATAAAAGCATACAGAAGAGCTTTTAAAAATTAGTCATCTCTGTGTTTTATTTTTCAAATGCATGCAACACCTTCAGTATGTAGAAAAGTTACTTCTGTTCTCTTAAGTGTTGCTTTAGGTTCTAATCAAGTCTGATCATGTACTCCATCTCCATGCTTTTGGCCCTGTGTAGCTTCTAACTCTACAGAAAGGGCTTGGCTTTATTATTATTTTTAATTAAAAAAAAAAATATATTATGCGATTACCCATTCTCAGGTTCCTTACCATTATTTCCCTGTTAGGAATTCCTTAGGTCTGGTTTCCTCTCCCTTTGTGGGGACTTTAACCTGAACTAAAGTATGTCTTCCCTCCTCCAATTTGATACTCAATAAGGCTATCCTTTCAAGGAGAATAGATGTTTTTGAGCAAGTGAATGCATACAGAGCAACCTCATTCTGAGTCATACCACTGGCTTATTAAGATCAGTGTTGTCTAGTCTGATTGGCAGTGGCTTTCAGCGTCTTGGACAGAGCTCTTTCATATCACTGACTACCTGGCCCTCCTTTAAAAACAAAAAAAGAAAAGGAAAAAAAAACTGGGCTTCCAGGGATTGAATTTGAGGCCTTCCACATACCACATGCTCTGCCACTGAGCCACAGCCCAATCCATGATTCCTCTCCTGAGGAGCCAGGTTCACAGATCATTTTCAGTTATAAGATCATATAATTAAAAAAAAACCCCATAACGTAGAGCAAATGTCAGGGTACAGGTGAAAGGCACATGAAGCAGCAGCCTTGCTGAAGCTAAGCTGTTCTGGATCTGGTCAGATCCTTGATGGGCGATCTGTCCATACTGTCTTGTCTTTCATAAGGAAGAAAGATGGAGTAGCTAGGTAATACATAAATAAGCAGAACAATAGGAAATATGCAGACATGTACTGAAACAGTCTGTCATTCCAGCATTCATGCTGGCCACCAAAGTTTCACTTTTCTTTGTGCTTTGGGTTTTCTCCTCCATAAGAAAATTAAGAAAATACTGCAGTTCTTTTTGAGTTTAACTGTTTGTTGGGTACTGCCATTGAATCAGTTTAGCAAAGCATTTTCCTGTCTGCCAGGGTAAATGATGGATTTAATCAGAGTCCAAGGCTAAAGGGAACTCCAGTTGTGAGTAGTGAAAAATTGTCTTGAAAAAAAGTTATGGGTTATGACTCATTGCTTTGCAGGAACAAGCATGTGAATTAGCAGACATATCAGGACAATTACTTAATGCCACACATTTTGAACTGACATGGGGAAAGTGCCCATCTATGGTTCTGCCCATAAGAGCACATCTGTGATCCTGCCTTGGGTTCCATGGTGGCATAGGCACAGTCAAAACCATTTGGAAGCTGTTACTTTTTTCACTACGTATTTGATGTTTGTTTTCTGCCTTAAACACATTGGGGACCTGCATATAGTGTCCTCTTGCATTCCTTCCCCCTATAAATTTATGTTAATGAGATTACCATGAATGTTTAGTGATCATAGAACAGCACAGTAGAGGGTTTGGGATTTGTAAACAGAATTCATTTTGCATCTGAGGAGGTGTGGAGACTGAGGGAAAAAGTGTTGTGTGGCCTGGGAAACTGCAGAAAATTTGCTGAAACTGGCTAGAATATACTCCTCCTCTTTGGCACACTAGATAAGGTTTTGAACTGAGCATTCTGGGTTAGGATAGAGGTTCTGGCACAAGAGACTGACTGTCTAGAGAAGAGAGCCAAAACAATACAAATAAAACCTGAGAATAATTATTGAGAGGGAACATATGCCTTTTGATATCTTTGTTATCCATTTTGGAGTTGCTTGTACATTTGTGATCCTGAGGGAAGAGGTGACAAATGGGAAATGGGCCATATCTTATTATTATTCTCCCTCAAGCCCCCACCAAGGGATTGATATTTTTATTGCTCCAACAACTCAGGCTAAATGAAGGATGCCATGCATCTATTTTGAGACTACCTAGACTTAGATTTGGTGAACTAGATTGACAGCCCACTCCCACCCACCCCCGGTATTTGCTTAAACGGATTGAATTGGGAGGGTGACGCACCATCAGTATGGATGTGTAGCACTTGAAGAGAAGTCATTTTAGCAACAAGAAATCTAATGAGCAATGTGGCTAATATTACAACTGTGGAGACCAACCCTTTTGTCAACTGTATTGTAAATTAAACCAACACTATGAAAATCATTATAGCAATGATACTCCACATCTCACATTCACAGAGCCACATTCACAATTGCTGTCAACCAAATGAACCACATTTACTTCCTTTCCTGGCATGAAACCTCAGGGAGGCTCGCAACTTACCCATTCCTCTGACAGCAGCTGTTTCAAGGTGGGAACCAAGTAGAAGCCATACTAGGTAGTATCCTTGCCCATTTTCCTTTTTTAAAAATGTTAATGAGTTTATTACAATATATATACAAAACAAGAACTCATTGGTATTGTACAACACAGAACGATACATAGAACATCATACAAAAATACTTCTCTATTATGTTGCATTAGGGAAGTGGATCATAACCCCAAATTTAAATCAACCAACTACCAAACATACCATACAACCTTTTTAATGTCAGATATTAAGCAAGTTCATATGAACCAATTTTTTAGGAACCACATTGTGAGAAGCCAAATAACCTAATACAGGAAACCACTTTACTACAAATTTGGAGTACATATCCATATCACTTTGAGTTATTTGATCAGTGATTTTTTTCCATTATGTATAGATTCCCCACTTTCCTGAAACATGCCACACTGGAGAACATTGCTCAGAACCACAATGAGCATATCAGAGAACCACCAGTGGATCCTGAACCAGGGAGTGAGCATCACCGTTTTACAATATGTGCCCTGGTTTATTTTTTATTTATTTAAGATATTTATACTCCACCTTTCCTCCTGGAGGGGGGAAAACAACAACAACCACCCAGCAGCCCAAGGCAGCTTATAAAATAATGGAAACATATACTGAAAGTGTTTAAAAAACTAACCACATACATGAGCCATCTAGTTAATGGAAATGGGAGATCTGAGGAACAGGCCCATGGACATCAACCGTGCCACAGTTTGATCATTCATGTAAAATAATATGAATGAGAGAAGTAGGGATAGCTGTTTTTAATAGTCTTCTTAAGAATACATAAATAAGGGCAGATAGAACTGGTGTACATAGAAAATGAGCATCATGGTGCTAGAGTAGAACTCTTGGTTCATTTAGTCAAACCGTGGCACTGTAGGAAGATACCCTGTACCTAAAGTATCATGCAATGCAGAAAAATGTCCAAAGAAAGAAATTACATCTCATATATTTCTGGTAATCTTATTAATAACCAGTCATGTCCTGCTTTTCCTTCAGAGAGCTCAGAGTGGATTGGAAGGGGTCCTGAAGTAGTCTTTTTGTCGGGGCTGAGACCCGATTAGCGTTAACAATATAACAGTATAATCTGGCCGAATTGGTTTCCAATTTGCCCTATCTGGGCAAAATAATTGAGAGGGTGGTGGCGATTCAGCTACAGGGCTTTATGGATGACACTTCCATGTTAGATTCCTTCCATTCTAGTTTTTGTCCAGGCCATGGGACAGAAACAGCGCTGGTCACCCTCGCAGATGACCTCCAAAGACATCTGGATAGAGGCAGATCGGCGGTGCTGTTGGGCAGTGTTCGACATGGTTGACCATCAGCTATTGATCCACTGCCTTGTTGATGCTGGGGTCCAGGGGTCTGCCTTGCAGTGGCTTACCTCCTTTCTCCAGAATCAGGGACAAAGGGTGTCTGTAGGGGAACAGTTGCCCCGAAGGCACCCACTGGTTTGTGGAATGCCCCAAGGGGTGGTATTTTCCCCAATATAACATCTACATGTGCCCCCTTGCCCAGATCGCTCGGAGGCATGGGCTGGGGTGTCACCGATATGCCGATGACACCCAACTCTATCTGATGTTGGCTGTCCAGTCTGACTCTAGTCCGAGAGATCTGGACTTGGCGTTACAAGCCGTGGCTGGATGGCTTAGACTGAGCTGACTAAAATCAAATCTGGCAAAGATGGAGGTCCTGTGATTGAGTTAAAGCGGTCTAGGGCTAGGGATTCCACTCCCAACCTTTGATGGGACTCCATTGGTGCCAGCACCAGAGGTTAGGAGCTTGGGAGTGCTCCTAGATGCCTCCTTAACAATGGAGGCCCAGGTAACAGCCACTGCCAAGTCGGCCTTTTATCACCTTTGGTTGATTAGGCAGTCGGTTCTCTTCCTTGAACGCAATGATGGTCACCTTGAGATTGGACTATGGTAATGCTCTCTACATGGACCTGCCCTTGGCACGCATCCAGAAGCTATAGCTAGTGCAAAATGCTGTAGCCAGGCTCTTGATGGGTCTCCCCATGTGGGAGCACATCTAACCTATGCTAAAAGCATTGCACTGGCTGCCAGTAGCATACCGAATTTGCTTCAAGGTGCTGGTTCTTACTTTTAAAGCCCAATATGGTCAGGGAAGAGCATACTTGAGGGACCGCCTTTCCCCACATGTTCCCCAGAGAGCACTGCATTCAGGGCTCCAAAATCGTTTGGCCCTCCCTGGTCCTAAAGAGGCCAGGCTGGCCTTAACTAGGTCCTTTTCAGTAGCGGCTCCATACTGGTAGAATGAGCTCCCGGAAGACATCAGGGCCCTGTGGGACCTCTCACAGTTCCACAGGGCCTGCAAGACAGAACTCTTCCACCAGGCTTTTAATTAGGAGCTGCATATAACAACTGTACTGTGTTTAGGCCTGCCCCCCGGACTTTCCATTAGCAGCCTGTGCCCACCATAAAAATCAGAGGAGATGCTGAATTCCAACACTGACCATTCCTTTTTGATGAACTAACACACCCTCCTGTGACTGCTACATAATTTTATAATGTTATAATCTGTCATGCTACCCTGTGGGTTGCCACCTTCCTCTGTCACCACTCTGGACTTCCCTTGGGAAGGCCCAAAGTACCCTCCCAAGCCCAACCAAAAATGCCCCTTTTAAGCTGAGAAATATAGGCGTGATGACCAGGCAAAGAACATTTAAAAAATGGTATATTAATACAGTAATGGGGCAAGGGAAAAACAAGACAAGTTGCTTAAAATATATAACAGTGTCTAAAGGTAAATAAAACAAATCTAACGTGGTTTACCTATTTCTCTTATTATTCAAGGCCCACAGCCTTTTATACCAGGCCTGTGCCTGTACTCACTCTGTCCCAAGTGAGGGATCTTTTCTCAGACCAAACTGTCCTCTTAGGTTAACTCTGTGAGAGAAAAGAACGCAGTTTCACAGCCCACAAAATCTAAGTAACAATCCCCTCACGCAATCCCCGGACACAGATTGGTTACAACCGGTGCCAAGCATTGTGGGGATTGTAGGCGGTGTCTGCTTTCCACTCCCACACAGGTCTCCTGGGCCTAGGCCTCACTGGGCCTTGTTTGCCAGTCCTACACATATCATGACACCATCTAATTTAGATCTAGCACCTTAGCACTTTACATCTGTTATAATTGTATGATAAATTATGAGGTTTTATGTGTTTTATGTATTTTACATTTTTATGTAAGCCGCCCTGAGCCTGCCTCAGCAGGGAGGGCAGGATATAAATTGAATAAATAAATAAATAAATAAACATTAGGTGCTTTCTAATCTTTATCTGTGATCATTTTCTGGCTTTCATTCAAGTTGAAAACTGGTTGCTTCATATGTTGAGGGTTTTTCACGCATTATTCTTTTCCTGACAGAAACTGCTTGTTGCACATCCCTGAGGCCTTTTATGGTCACTCAAAGATGCACCAACTTTATCATGGTCTTTCTTTTTTTTACATGCACCTTGGTTGGCTTGGTAGCTACTGCCACTAAAGTATAAAACTACTGTCTATATGGTTGGGCTTTCTTGTAGGTTGACATACATAGGCAGGCTTACAGAGCAGGCAAATCCCGCCTCATCCTCCTCGAACATAATATTCAAACAAGTCCTCAGTAGTAAGTATCGTGTTCACACAGATTAGAAGTACAGCCGTGTTGCTGTTGCAGCCTGTCCCCCTTTGAATTATTTGTAGAGGCGACTGCTTAAGGACAGAAGCGGAGTGCAAAGCTTCCAATGAATTAAAAAACTTAATGACAAAAGCTAGGGAAAAGAGTCCCTCCTACACTGTGCTTCTGTTTTAAGTTGCAGCCCCCCAATGATTGTATTTAGTTAAAAAAATATCAGGGGGGGAAATGTAAAGTAATTCCATTCTTGGTCCTGTTCAGTGTAATTTCTTTTTAAGCTGTTTTGCTGCCATTCAGTAGGACAAATATTTGGACTCAGTTTGTGGTAGGCTATTTTTCTCCCCCACCCCATGATAGATTTTTGTACACATTGCTTCTGATGAGGTGACTGTTCTGACACACAGCTTCAGAAAGTGGGTTGACTGATGGCATGCCAAACCCATCATTGGAGCCAGTGGCATAAGTTGTAGAAGCCGGCTTTATTTATGAGCACAGTGGGAAAACTGGAATTTGAACTGGGAAAGAAAGAAGGAAGTGGGTCATGGTGACAATATAGCCATGAGTTTAAAATGGTTTCAGTCATCAATCAAGTTTCATCTTTCAATTTTGTATGCAAGATAAGAAAAGAAATACTGGAGATTGATATTCAACTGCTTTAAGATGCATCCAGACAAAATAGGAAGTCTTGTGTTGCTTGGCACAATGGACTGAAAATGTTTTGATACAAAATTCATGGCTGATCATGAGGCAACAAAAGCCTAAATGCAGCATACTTTTAAAATGCTTGTTTCATGAGGAGAGTGATCTTTTTTAAACTGCATGTAGACTTGTAGTCATTAGATATCTTTTAAATAAAGTCAGAGAGGGATCTCATGAGGCGTACAAAAATAAATGGGAGTTAGCATTTTTTATGTGGTGATCTACAGCCATAGTGTAAGAATTTTCTTCAGCTTTATTTGGTATTAAAGAACAGATACACCAGTGTGCCTTTGAGAAAACACAGTGGTTGTTCAACATTCTGTATTGTCACTGGACCCTAACTAATTTAAATACCTCTGTTGCTGTTGGAGAAGTTTTCTGTGTCTCTTCAACTCTAAGGGCTTTGTTTTGATTCTGTATTTTTCTTCAGGCACTCGCAAGGACAAAGATAAACCTCTGAGCTTCACTCTTGTCCTTGAGACTTTGAGGCATACCTTGACAGATTACCAGAACAAGCTGGAAGATGCATCTAATGAGGTAACACTTGCACTGTTTGCTCCACACACATAGCCTTCGGCCCCCAATACGAGATATTCCTTGCTTGTTACAGAGGTCAAAATGCTGGGAATGTTGAGTTGACAGCTTCACAAATAAGAAAAAGAAATAATCTTTTGTCACTGTTCTCCCTCTAAGCTTGCCCCGTGGCCATGGTTCACTTAAGTTTAAGTAACTGTTTAGCAATTTGTGATTTAAACAAAAGAATGCATATATTGAACTCTTGTGGCTCCCAATTTCTAGGGATATACATATGTTTCTGATATTTATCATCTGTTGCTGACTTAAGTCTTTGGCATAAATATGTAATAAAAAGTTTTTACAAAAATACCTTAAACTCTTTGTGTTCAGAATCTAGCACAGATTGATGTCAGATTAATAAATGTGTATGCTCTTGGGGGGGAATTACAAGGTAAGATCCTATCGGATTGCTTTCAATGTCGCTGCTGAAGGCATTTTTATTCCTTGCTGAAGAAAGATACCAGTGATTGTTCCTTTCTGAAAGTTATCAAACTTGTAAAACATTCGGTTTGGGTTTAAAATAAACTATATTTTAGTTTGGTGTTTGGCAGGCACCCAATTCACTGTAAAGAAAAAAGGAACAAGGTGCAAAGATGAGAGTTTTATTAGATCATCTAGAACCCTGCACATTTGCTAATTGCTTCATCGGGGATTGGGGATAAAAACGTCTTGGCTCCCACCTAGAACAGTGGGATCAAATTCACTATGTAACTATTAAGTAGATACACCTGAATTTACATCCATTTAGATTTGATTAGCTTTAGTGGGAGAATATAGTTTAAACAGAAGAATGTTAGTTTTAACTGTTGGATTTGGGCTATGAAATATCTTGCCCATTTACAACTTAGACAAACTGCTATGGTGTTTTTGTCTCTAGTTCACTCGAGGTGAAGGTTGCAGTGAGAACTTAGTTTTATATTAGAAATTAAGAGAGACCATTACTGCTGGAAAAAAGTCAACATCAAAATAGAATAGCTTGGTTCAATTATTTTTGTGTAAATGTTAAATTACCCCAACATTTGAATTTTAAGAAATTTTTGGCCACTACTGTAAAATAGCTTTTTAAATGTTTGAAACTTGTAAAAAAAATCACTTTAAAAAGTGTTATTTGCCCTTTGATGTGGTTGTAGGGACACAAAGTCAGTTACATGGAAAGAATTATATATTTCTGCACACAGATGCCTCTTGGAGGTCTGTCCCATTGACAACTCATGTGTTCTGAGGCCATAAGTCCAGGAGCAGCACAGTGACTAGGCACGCAGTATCCACTGTGAATTGTTTGGGAGGATGAATGTCACCTGATCTCCAGAACAACTGAAAAGTCAACTCAGCAGGCTTTGGCTGAGGAACGTGTTTTGTTGTGAAAGGATGCCAGAGACAGCAGTGGGGAGACAAAGGGGGTGGCTGTTAAGAAAGCAAAAAGTATGTTCTGTCAGCAAGAAGAATGAACTGTCAAGGAAAATAAACCGCAAGCAGCCGCAGGACCAAATGATGATCTGCCCACAAGACTTCCCAGTAGGGCTGCATGTACCCGACCCTGAAGTTGTCCTATGGAGCTAGAGATCACGGAGTGCCCTCATGATATGCAGATGGCATAGTTCTATGCCCCTTCTTTCTTTTCCTTGTTGATAGCCCTGCTGTCTTCTGGTTCTCCCTTCCTTTCATGTAATTAATTACGAAACTTTCTAATACAGTGGAAAATCAGAGAATCTGTGGCATATTAATTTTAACAGTCCTTTTTATTAAATAGCTCAACTTGTAGAACTGTGTTTAGTTTAAAAATCATACAGATGATCAAAGTAGCTTCTTTCCATTTACATACTTTGGATGGGTACAATAATGACCTCTTGTAGATGTTTAAAGTATGTCAGGCAAGACTTGAAACTTGGCAGTTTTGTTGAAGCCAGTTTCTATTACCAGGCTGAAAATATATTTTATGTTGCTAACATTGAGGCTGGCTAGAGGGATGGAAAGTATGGAAAGAAACTGTGATGGGATAAGACAGAAAGCATATTAAACTACACCAGGCATTGTGTTCACAAATATTAATGTGTTGTGCTCCACAGTATGGCTATGCTGTGGCTGTAGAATTTAACTTCCACTGTAGTCATTCAGTTTGCCATTTTGGGAGGGAGTGCCATTACTGGCCATCATGATTGCAATGATATAGTGTATATTAGATCAGAGTTCTGAGGTAAGAAGAGTTGCAGAAGAAGTCTCAAGCAGCTAGAGCAAGGGATTTTTTTGTTCAGTCTCCGTAACTCCCAATCCCCTCCAGTGCTCCCTCTAAGCTTGTGAGCAAAAATTCTATATTGTGAGCTACTGGCATTAAAGTTGTGAGCAAGAGATTTGGCTACTGCATAAATTAGTTTGCTCTGGAGGCATCGTTTCTGAGCTAAGACAAAAATGTGTGAGCCAGAGGCTAAAAAACTGTGAGCTAGCTCATACTAACTCAGCTTAGAGGGAACACTGGTCTTCTCCCACAGACTCTAGAATCCAGCTCCACATATAGCTTTAGCGTTTCCCATAAATTCTATGACCATGTACCTTTGAAAGAATAGAATACTCTTACTACATTTGAATTTGGTATACTATGAATTCTCAGATCAAGAAAAGTTGCTGGTAGAGCATTCTTTGTGGGAAACCAGAGTTATGTGCGTAAAGTTCTTATAAAAAGCCTCCTTTTCTGGTGCATTAAACGAACCAGATTTTGGGAGGATTTGGTGTGATCACTCTTGCAGACTGGTTGTACATATATATAATCAGAAGTAAGTCCCACTGAGTTTACTGGTACTTACTCCTAACGAAATGGGCCTAAGTTTGCAACATTAGTCTCTATGTCATCCCATTGGTAAGCCTTCTATTTAATTTGATGTGTACTGTATTTTTGCATAGCAAAAGAAAATGAAGATTTTGTGTGAGAAGATAGTGAAAGAGGTTGATTCTTCGAAACAGCAGCTAAGATCTCAAACACAAGAACTCCAGGTATGAACTGAATGATTTATTGCATTTATATACAGTTAAGTGTAGGGCTGTAGCTCAGTGGCAGGGCATCTGCTTTGCATTTGGAATGTCCCAGTTTCAGTCCTCGCATCTCCAGTTAAGCCACTAGGTGATATGAAATACCTGTATCTGAGACCCGGGGCAGCTGCTAGCAGCCAAAGTTGGCAATACTGACCTTGATAGACCAATGCTCTGCTTCAGAATGAGGTAACTTCTTTGTGTTCAATTTTGATGGAATTTTGCTTGTGATCATGAAACCTCAATTAGGAATGTCATTTAATTCAATAGGTTTACACCACAGTAAATGCTTTGAGGATGACAACGTATAGCTATGGCATTTTACTGGAGTATTGTCGTACTGATGTCCTTCAGAATTAGCAGATCTGTTACTTTAACCATGTTATGTGTTCCTGGAGTGGTCTGCTCCCCAACATTTCTCTGTTTGAACGAAAATATTCCAAACAATTTTTTTTTAGCTTTTCTCTTATTTTCTATGTCTAATCTTCTAAGGTAAGTTGGCTTTATGACCAGTTACTGTTAGATGTTGGAACAAGGTATTTTACAAATATGTCCTTGTAAATCAGATAGTCTGTAATTTGTATAGGTGCTCATGTGTATCCTGTTGCTTCCTGATATGGCTACCATATGCTGCCCCTCTTTGGATAATATTTTATTCTGCAGAACTGGATGGAAATGGTGCTAGCATTGTTTGGGAGTTGACAACAGTAGTTTAACCATTAAAACATATGATGCAAAACTTAGCCCCAGGGTATGATTAAAAATGGACTCCTGTATAGATAGTAGAGATAGCTTAGCAAACCTGCGGGATACACCTTTTTTTTTTGGAAAAAATTGTAAAGGTATGAAAAGTAAATGGGATGGATCTTCAACGTGGTCTCTGTGCTTCACACCCATGGGATCTAGTGCGCACGCGCTGGATCGATCGGTGCTGTAGCAAGCTCTTTTAACGGATTTTCGCGCCCAGTCCCTCGGGCATGCACAGGAAACCCACCGCGCATGCCCAGAGGGGTGGACGCGGACATCCCGCCAGTTCCTTTCTTACCGTTGCGTTGGAAATACCTTTTTGTTCGTCGGTCTGATCGGTTCGCGTGTTTTGGCTTTTTGCCTCATGGCTCTTTGGATTTTTTTCTCAGTTTATTCTTTTTCTTCGTTGTTCTTTCAAAAAACTTTTAAAAAACAAACCTTTTATTTTATGTTGAGGGGGAGATTGCCACTTTACCTCAGTCGGGCCTTCGGGCTACCCCCCCCTCAACGTTCCCTCTTCTTTGCTTCTTTTATGGAGAAGAAGTGGGGTTTTTACAACAGGTGCAAGGGTTGCGGCAGCAAACTTGCTCCTCCTGACCGTCATACCCGCTGCATTTTTTGCCTCAGAGTGTCTCACCAGCCAGAGTCCTGTCGTCACTGTGCGCGTTTCTCCAATCAAATGCGAAAAAACCGTGCTGCGCGCCTTAAAGTGGCGCTGCTTGAATCGGCCCTTGCTCCTGCCTCAGCGATGGAGGAGAGACCGTCTATATCGACAGCTCCGGCATCGAGGCCTGCCTCCGATGTCGACCACCCGACGCCGAAGCTCCCGACATCGAAGGCACAATTGTCCGCTTCCACGCCAGTCAAAAAAAAGGCTAAGGCAAGTAAAGATCACAAGTCTGCGAAGAAGGGCACCTCCAAGTCCCTTAAGGTGGTGAGGAAGGGGAAGGAGGCGGTGCCTGCACTGGGTGATGCCTCTATAGTGCCTCCCGCTCCAACGTCAGTATCGATATCGGAGGCCCAACTCCCTCCTCCGATACCAACCATCCAACTACTAAATTCCCCCATCCAACAAGTGGAGCGTCCGTACTCCGACATCGACACGGTGGAGCTCCTAAGTCACCAAATGGGTGCAGAGCTTTCCCCCTCTCCTTCAACTTCGTCGGCATCGATGGTATCGGAGGCTCCCGATGTCGAAACACGTCGGTACCGACATGCTTCTCGCAGCATGCAACGTCATCCTCCGCATCTCAATGTTCAATCTGTCGATATCGACAACCGAGACTACAGGGACGGTTCTCACAGACAAGCTACTACTTTGTCTCCCAGACGTCTACGGTCCAAAAGTCGATCCACCCGAGTCTTCCTGCCCCCTCCACCCCCAATATCGTGGGATCAACGACAGTTGAGGTACCCTGTACGGGACTTATACACCATCCATGCCATGGTTGACTTTGGCGGGCTATTCTGATTGGGATCACTATTCGTCCCGCTCTGTTCACAGATCGAGGTCGCCCCACAAGTCCAGACCTTCGGCATCTCTGTCTCGTTCTCCTGCAGACAATCCTTCCCACCATAGTATGGAACCAAGTCGTCCTCCCAACCCTCAGGTCACTCCAAACCCTGTTGTTCCACCAAAACCTATAGCTTGTCATGAGGACACTTCGGTCCAAATACAACACCAAGACTCCTCTGACTCCATAGAAGAAGACTCGGAGATGGAAGCTTCTGAGGCTCATACCTCTCCTGACCATAAATCTCCCAACCAGGATGTCTCTGAAGACTTACCCATATACCCATCCGACAACCTTACATCGTATACAGATTTAGTTAAAAGAATGACCCACTCTTTAGGCCTCTCTGTTGTCCAGCAACATCCACAGGCAACAGATGCGGTTTATGATATAGTTCAGCTTGATACCTCTTCCACCTTGGCATTGCCTATGTCTTCTGTCGTTCTGCAAGCGGCGAAGACACCATGGCTAAAACCTTCATCTGCCCCTGTGTCCACGAGACGACTGGACCACATGTACAGGGTCCAAGAGGCAGATGCCGAATTCCTCTTCTCGCACCCTCAGCCTAACTCGATGGTGATAACATCTTCCTCCAAATCCAAGAGGACTCATTCCGCACCTTCTGACAAGGAAGGTAAGAAATTAGATGCCTTTGGCAGGCGCTTCTACTCCACGGGAGCATTAGGAGTCAAGGGCACTAATTACTTGGCCTGTATGAACCGATATCAATATACTCTCTGGGAACGGTTCTCAGAACTTCTCAGCCACCTCCCAGACAACAAACTTCAGGCAGCCAGAGTCATACAAAAAGAAGGCATGGTGTTGGCAAAACAACAGCTCAACACTACTAAGCATGTCCTCAAGGCGTCTTCCAGAACTATGGCCTCTGCAATAGCTCTCAGGAGACATTCCTGGCTCCGCAACACTAATCTGCTAATAGATATTAGAGCTTATGTGGAAGACCTTCCCTTCGATGGCCTGGGGCTTTTCAATGCCACTACGGATTCTACTCTACAGGAGTTAGATAAAGGCATAAAGGCGTCTCGAGCTCTAGGAGTCTCATCCTCTGCAAGACAACCATACTGTCCACACACCTGGTCGAGGTCCTGGCAGAGGCGTACCCCAACTCATCAGTCTCCAGAGACACGATGGAGACCAAGAACATCTTTGGGAGGCCAAAAGCCCGCCTTCCAGAAACCAAAATTCAGTTCCGGACAACAAGCTTTCCGCACCAAACAGTCCAAACCCTCCGAACAGGGTTTTTGACTTCCCTGTCACCGAGTCAGCTCAAACCTGTCTGTCACCCTTTCTTCAAAATTGGCGTCATATCACCTCGGAGGAGAGGGTACTGTCCATATTGTCCCGAGGCTACAAAATTCAGTTCCACCAGAACCCCAATACCCCCGTCGTCGTCTCCACGCCCCCTTCCCCACCTCTCCTCGAGGAGGTGTCTGTCCTTCTGCAAATGGGAGCCATCGAACATGTACCACCACACTTCCAAAGAACGGGATTTTATTCCCGATACTTCACAGTCCCGAAGAGAGACGGAGGCGTTTGACCCATATTATATCTAAGGGAACTGAATCGTTTTGTTACCTACCACCGCTTCCGCATGGTGTCCCTACAACAGATCATGCCATTGCTTCGCAGACACATCTGGATGGCCACCCTCGACCTCCAAGACACATATTTCCACCTTACTATCCACCCCTTCCACCGCCAATACCTACGCTTTGCGATTGGTCAACAGCACTACCAGTATACGGCCCTTCCATTCGGCCTGTCCAGCGCCCAAAGGGTCTTCACAAAGACTATGATTGTGGTTGCAGCCTTCCTCCGTCTCCGAGGTATTTCCATCTACCCATATATAGACAATTGGCTTCTGGTAGCGCCTTCCAAGACTGCCCTGGTCTCAAACGTCAAAGAGACTCTGGCGCTATTGGACAATCTGGTTCCAATCTGTCTTTGTAGGGACACCCATATTATATCTAAGGGAACTGAATCATTTTGTTACCTACCACCGCTTCCGCATGGTGTCCCTACAACAGATCATGCCATTGCTTCGCAGACACGTCTGGATGGCCACCCTCGACCTCCAAGACACATATTTCCACCTTACTATCCACCCCTTCCACCACCAATACCTACGCTTTGCGATTGGTCAACAGCACTACCAGTATACGGCCCTTCCATTCGGCCTGTCCAGCGCCCAAAGGGTCTTCACAAAGACTATGATTGTGGTTGCAGCCTTGTCCAACGAATACAGTACATCGGTGCAATACTGGATTCGACAACATGCATGGCTTACCTGCCCCACGACAGGGCAACAGATATCATTTCCTTAGCCACCGTTGTCCGTATCCAATCCTCTTTCACGGCCTTCCAAATTCAGAGGCTGCTCAGCTGGATGGCTGCAACTACGTCAGTTCTCGTCTTTGCCAGACTCAAAATGCGCCCTTTACAGCTCTGGTTTATCCGCAACTACGACCTGTCGAAAAACACACACAGTGTCGTCCTATCCCCTCTTCCCAGCATACGGGACTCATTACTTTGGTGGACTGTCCCTTCAAATATCCTCCAGGGAGCGCCCTTCCACCCTCCGTCACCCGAAGTCACCATAATGACGGATGCTTCCCTTACAGGATGGGGTGCACACTCCATGGGACTTTCTGTTGGAGACAAATGGGACGCGCAGATGAGGAG